TGAATAGATTTGAAGAAGCATTGGAGTATTATGATTCAGCTATTCAGAAAAACCCAGAAAATGCAAATCATTATAGTGGAAAAGGTAAAAATTTATCAGATTACTTTTATTAGCCATTATCTTAAAGAACATGATTAGATTTGAAGAGGCTTTGCGATATTATGATTTAGCTATTAAGAAAAATCCAGAATAAGCAGATTATTATTATGGCAAAGGTAAAAAGGTAGTTACATAATAATAGCTGATAATCTATAAAATATGAATAGATTTGAAGAAGCATTGAAGTATTTCGATTTAGCTATTCAGAAAAACCCAGAAGATGCAGCTTTTTATAACTGCAAAGGTATAAATGAATGATGGATATTTTTAGCGATTACCTTATACAAGATGAATAGATTTGAAGAAGCATTGTAATATTATGATTTGGCAATTTAGAAAAACCCAGAAAATCCAGATCATTATAATGGCACAGGTATATTTTATTGATGTGTATTTTTAAGCCATTGTTTTATTCTAGATGAATAGATTTGAAGAAGCATTGAATTATTACGATTTAGCTATTCAGAAAAACCCAGAAAACGATGATCATTATATTGGCAAAGGTATAAAATATTCATGTATTTTTCCTTAGCGATTGCATTAGAAAAGATGAATAGATCAGAAGAAGCATTGTGGTATTATGATACAGCTATCCAGAAAAACACTTAAAATTCAGATTATTATTATGGCAAAGGTAAAAAGTTGTGATATATATTTTCTTAGCGATTGCCTTATAAAAGCTGAATAAATTTGAAGAAGCATTGAAGTATGTTTTTCAAAAAAAACCAGAAAAAACAGATTAAAGGAGTAAAGGTAAATTTAACCTTTTAACTTCTAGTTACAGCTGAGGCAAAAATACAATAAAACTAATAATTTTAAGTTTCCAATTATGAATCTATTCAACATATTTAAGAGGATCTTATTTGAATTGAAACTATATATATTTAATAATAATATTAATTAATTACAAAAAATATCATTATTAGGAATTCATAAGTAAGGGACTTTGTTAAAACAGAAGAGATATTAGATATTAGACGTCCCTTCCTAATCATTACTAGTAAAAATGGTGAAGGCCCACACCAGCGCTGGTGACTCGTCCTTCACTCATTGGTGTTATGTAAAGTTGTAGATTAGTCTCATACCTATTCAGCAACCTATTCGTCAAAGAGAATAGCTTTACTACAAACTTCGACTATTCTCTTTGGTTTAAGAGCGTCAGAATTAATCGTAAACATTATTGGGCACTACTGGGTTTGGTTTTTACTAAAAATAATAGCAGCCTAGTTAAAAAGCACGCTATTTACTTTTCCCCAGCTCTGGGAGGACCATGAAGAATCGGGTTTGGGGTTGGCTTTCTTATATTTAGACAGCTCAACAGTCCTTCTGACATAAGGCGGCTCAATAGTCAAATAAATTTTTTTTATGTAATATAAATTTTTTCCTTATGTCATTTTTTTTTCACTTTTCATATATAAAAAAAATTTTTCCCACCAGGGTTTGGGTTTGGGTTTGGGTTTGGGGTTTGGGTTTGGGTTTGGGTTTGGGGTTGGGTTTGGGTTTGGGTTGGGTTTGGGGTTGGG